AATGCCTATACATTATATTTATCGGAGGAGCAGTCTTAAATCACGCTTGCCATTTTCTCATCGCTTCTTCAACGAAGGGCCCTTACTGGATCATTTGTTATGTCTACGTTTTCTACAGAATACTTAGGATAACAGTATTCATGAAAAAGAGAGAGTAAAATGCAACTTAAACATCATTCATTTTTGATGAATCCAAAGGTTCTGTTTTGGTCTAATAACATTTTCAGTTGGCAAGTTAAAAGATATTTCTTTTAACTTATACAATCCATGAAGTTTACACCTACAACTGACTCGGCAATAATTTCGGAAACTGAAACACAAGAATTTAAACGGCAGAGACTCCCGCGACAGTGTTTAATTTGAAGCGCATAGCTGAATCAATCAATCATATTATTAATGGTCATATTTTTACAATTATTATTTTTTTACTTTGTACATCTTCTAGGCTACATATGCGATTGTACCCAGTTTATCTTGGTTTTCTATAGTAGCACCTTAGACAATGCCTTCAGCGACAACACGATCTCAACAAGCGTTTATAACCCTTTCGAAACTTTTCATTGAAAACTGCGTACAAACATGGGTTTAGGGCGCTGTTGCTATGCGCCAGAAAAAGGCGCCAAAATCTCAAATTGCACGGTAACGGGTCAAACACGATTTGCCCGGTAAAATATGTCAACCAACAGAAGACAAAAGCTGCAGTGACCGTCAGCAACATGTAAATAACTTTTTTGCTTGCCTTCCCGCGTCTTCTCTGCACCAGTTTGGCTATTTCCTTGTCAGAAGGCGTTTTGTATCGTCGCAAAGTGATTACTATGACGGTATACGAAGCTAAGATAAGAACGAAGGGAAGAGCATAGAACGCGACTAACAGAAACGTATAGTATATTTCCCGTGCGTTGCTGTTCTTGAAAGTTCTTTTCATGTTAGCGTCGCAAGAAAATTCACTTCTGGATGTGTGGAATACAACCTTAAGTGATAGAAAGTAAGGAAACCGAACGGCCATGGCTAAAACCCAGATGAACGCAATCACAAGTTTCGATGATTTAACAGTGAACAGTTCCAGTTTTAAAGGAAAGACGATTGCAAAAAATCTATCGATGGCAAGAGTTAGTAATGTAAGAATTGAAACCAAAATACTAACGCCGTGAAGATAAGGAACAACTTTGCACAGCACTGAGCCAAATATGCCCTCTACCAGCCAGTCTGTTCCCCGTAACCAGATGACAATTACTCGCGGCATATAAACCAATGTGATATTCAAGTCGGTAGCAGCCAGGTTGACTATGAAACAGTGGAAAGTTCTCCGCATAGTCTTATTGCGCCACACTACCATGATTGTCATGGAGTTCCCCAGGGCTGATATCAGAATTATCACACAGTAAACAACAACTCTGGCAGCTCGGGTGGCCGTAGTGTCGTTATAGAAGCAAGCACTCGAATAAGACTCGTCTGCCGTTCCATTATTAAGGCTTCTCGCGCTAGTGACATAAGAAGTGTTGTTGAATTCAAAGTGGCCCATGATAAGTCAATAGGTTCCTTCCAGAAAATGATGCTCGACTGTGTCTCCCGCTAGGAAACGTTCAATTTGGCGTAAATTTATGAGCGAACGCAAAATAGTGTGTTGCATTTTTAACGAGGTAATCTTTCAAAAATGGATAAACCCCTGACGTGTAAACTATAATGACTTGATTTGTTTGCACGTGCATTTTACTAAGATGAATTCGTTACTTGAAGTAAGTTCCTGTTGTCGTTATCTTGTTTACAAACGAGTGGAAATAAATTAAACTAATGCCAATATCTTTTCGCATGAAAAGAAGAAATCCCACGGGAGAGTAAACAGTGACGTATTCCGCGACAGAAAAATATTGCTTGAGAACTGTACCTTCTTGCTTTGGGCATGCAGCAAATATTCGACTTGTATAAATTTCTGACAAAGTTTGCGTGATCACAATTGTCATTTCGTCGTGCGATAAGTTGCTGGTCTCACTTTTCAAACAAGCACACATGTGATGCCTAATGTGGTCGACATATTAGAAAAAATTTCATTAATTTTGTACACACGGACATTTACCTTTTTTATCAACTTAGCCTTTGTTCTTTGTTTCGTGCTCTTTGCGTTGGTAATTATTTTAATTTCTTTCTTTTATTTTCATAAACTTTTCCGATTTCATTGGTATTCAACGGAAATTGCACTTAACACCGGCCTCCCATCCATCTTAAGGCTGTAAATACACATTGCTTTGACCGTTTTTATCTTGCTTGAGAATGGACCACAATGGCTTAAAAAAATAAAAGTCTATGACCTAGGGGGTGAGAAAACCGGCCCAAAACAATTTACAATGAGTTAGGTCTGAAATGAAACAAAGAGATTGATTATCTAAATTTACCAAAAAGGCTTCCATCGTCTCGGATTTTGCCACGTTTAGAAATTTTATCTATTACAAGACTTCTCGTGACACAACGAGTTTTATCCCTAAAAATTATGTCAGTAACTTTTCAATTATACCTCGCTGGAATTTTGATGTAAGGGAAAATTTCTCTGCATGAGGTAACAATACGGCCTTAGCAGCCACATACTGCTATGCATACGCAGGTCAAGCTACATTTTGTTTTTCGTTTTTAACATAATTCTTCGTTGTTGATTTTTGCGCCTTCCCTTCAGCGGCATTACAAAATTGAAACCTCTTTCCCCATCCCATCATCATCGTCATTATCACTTTAAGCTATTTCAGGAGCCATAATCGAGGACAATTTTTCTATTTTTAGAACAAATTGCGCCATCCTGACGTCATATATCCGCGCGGATCCACGCACGTGTCGGGAACTCTCGCGTGGTTGCTGTCACGTTGCGTGATCAAATGGTGAGACTTGCAAGATTCTCTTGCGTATTTTTCATCGTGATGACAGGGAATAAGGCAGGGAATACGAACCAGGGCGCTCATATGTAATTTTATG